CGCTTGAGCCCAGGAGCTGGAGGTTGCTGTGAGCTGTAATGCCACGGCACTCTGCCCAGGGGGACAGCTTGAGGCTCTGTCTCAAAAAAAAAAAAAAAAGAAAATTCTGTTTTGTTTGCTAGCTACACTGACCTTTTGGTTAATAACTACAATTTTTAAAATTCTGATACAGCCAATAATGCTAATAATGCTTAAAATTATTCACATACCCAAACATCAGACTGTATCAGAAATTTTCTCCTGCTTTCTGGGACAAAGGTCTTGATTATGTTTCCCTGTTAATGTACTATCTTTACTTGTTTCTTTCTATTCCCCTTTTAACTAAACTTTTTGTTAAAAGGGGAATAGAGTGCGGTGACATCATAGCTCACAGTAACCTCAAACTCTTGGGATTAAGTGATTCTCTTGCCTCAGCCTTCCAAATACTGGGAATATAGGTGCCTGCCACAATGCCTGGCTAATTTTTTTTTTTTTTTTTTTTTTTGAGACAGAGCCTCAAGCTGTCACCCTGGGGAGAGTGCCATGGCATCACAGCTCACAGCAACCTCCAGCTTTTGGGCTCAAGTGATTCTTCTGCTTCCGCCTCCCAAGTAGCTGGAATTACAGGCGCTCGCCACAGCGCCTGGCTATATTTAGGTTGCAGCCGTCGTCGTTTGGTGGGCCTGGGCTGGATTCGAACCTGCCAGCTCAGGTGTATGTGACTGGTGCCTTAGCCGCTTGAGCCACAGGCACTGAGCCCTGGCTATTTTTGTTGCAGTTGTCATTTTTGTTTAGCTGGCCTGGGCTGGGTTCAAACTTGCTAGCCTTGGTGTATGTGGCTGGTACCGTAACCACTGTCGTATGGGTGCTGAGCCATGTCTTAAAATTTTCTATGGAGTGAATTTACCATACTATGCAAAGCAGCAGAGGATGGTAAAGGCTTTTCATAATTTATTTCTATTGAGTGGGTATTTTTTGAGTTGTGGTATATAGGGGCAGTTGGATGGAGAACCCTGTTTTCTTTCTTTGGTTTTTTTTTTGTTGTTTTTTTTTCTTTGCAGATTTTGGCCAGGGCTGGGTTTGAACCCACCATCTCCAGTAAATGGCGTCGGCGCCCTACTCCTTTGAGCCACAGGCACCACCTAAGAACCCTGTCTTTTCCCCCTTACACAACACTGGATTTATTAGTTTTAGTAGTTTATTTTATTTTATTATTTTTTTTGTTTGTTTTTGTTTTTGTTTTTGGTTTTTTTTTTTTGAGACGGAGCCTCAAGCTATCCCCCTTGGTAAAGAGTGCCGTGGCATCACACTCACAGCAACCTCCAACTCCTGGGCTCAAGCGAGTCTCCTGCCTCAGCCTCCCAAGTAGCTGGGACTACAGGTGCCCGGTTATATATATTTTTTTATTTTAGT